ATGATAATAATTTCTGTAAAATCCCTCTCTTGTTTCCTCTGATCCCATATACAGGTACGGAGCAAACATTCCGTGGCTTCGGTGTCGCTTCCCTCGTTGTCCTCGTCATCTTCTTGGCCATGCAGTATCAGTCATACAACAACCCTAAATCAGATCCGTCATCATCCACCGACCCGACATCGTCCGGTAAGGCGAGGTCGTCATCACTGAACCGCGACGAAATCCAACCCGTCCTGACTGCCGAAGACGTCACTCCCATCCCGTACTCTGAGAAACGCGACGAAACCGTCGATGATGACGGAGAGCGAGATCTTGAGCTTGGAGAAGGAGGAGGGTTCGACGACGGGAGAGCTCTGGCGCAAGAAGTCGGTCAGGACAGCACAGGTGGAGGCGAATTTTAATCATGTCCGAGATTTTTTTTCCAGTTAATTTAAACAAATTTAGATTGTTGAAAATATTACTTGATGTATACACAGCAAATTATAATGTAACTAAGGTCTTTTAAAATACAGATCCTAAGAAACCGTCTTAAAATGGAAAATGGAGTAGAGTGCTCAGTTTGGGAAACATAATGATCAAAATGAAGATGAGACACGAGACACAACCGACAATATGTTTGTGTTTGACGCTATTCAGTAAAGCAAGTCAGTTTTAATCGTTTGATGGTTTCACCATGGTCTCCATGCACACCAAAAAATCCTTCTTTTTGCAGAAAGTTAACAATACAAATTATAACTGAATTTCAAAGTTCACGGAAATTGCAGTCGATTTGAAATGGGATTTGAAACGTCTGATTGTTTGTGAAAGCTATGCTCCAACTAGCACCAGGGAGACAAATTAACTTTTAAACGTTTTTTTAAAACACTGTTTGAGTTCAACCCGCCATGTATCAAGATATAATGTTTTAATCCCACTTTCATAAGTGACTTCAATATAAGGTCAGACTCTATTCCTGTAACTGTTAATAATTGTATGCCAACATTTTCTTTTGAATTTGTTGGTTTGTTTATTTCCCCTGATTTTTGTCATTTCTTACCAAAGACGGGAAGTACATTTATGACACAATCAATTTTCCAGGCATCACTGTACTTTTATTGTAAAATAATGTGTATACTATAAAGTTTGAAAACAAATGCTAGATAGAAGAAAAAGGTATATGTGATATGAGTATAGTAGTGGCCTCAACCTCCCCATGCAAAGTAGTATAGCCCTCTTGTGCTATTCGTAGCAGTATTATTTGGCTGTCTTATATTAATATCAGATTCTCATGTAGATTCGTAAAATATAATGATATAGAGAGTGAAATGTACATAATTAAAAGTGCCACTATGCTTTATTTTTGAAAAAAGAAAAAGAGAAATATGTATAACAATGGATGTAAAATGGTCACTGTATGTATTTCAAAGTATTGTTGTATAGGTTTATATAAGTAGTATAGCAATTCGTAAATCAATGATGCAAGTAGTAGATACATGAAGTAGTAGAAACATGAAGATTTAAGGGAAGATGGGTATTGTGATTTTTAAATTGGATAGTAAGTAACAGGCAAATCCTTTATAACGAAGTACCTGGAAGTGCGAACAGATTTTCGCTTTGTAGGCGACATTATAATAATAACCCTAACCCACATTTTAACCAGGACGGGAGGGAGAGGGGGGGGGGGGGGGGGTTAATGGGATAACAAATTACAGACAGAGCCCGTCTTACAAAGAGTTGATATCAATCGCAACTATGTACATTAGAGATAAGAGACTTCAAACTTGCAATTAATTTGGATCAATCGCAACACTTTGTAAGACGGAGCCCAGGACGTTATTCTCTTGATTTATATCAGGACTGTGCTCTGATAACTGTCCCCTGATGACTATCCCCCAATCAGTTGAAGGGATAACTTTTTTTTGTCCTAAAATTTTAAACTCCACAAAGCGACTTCATTGTAACAGGGTTTGCCTGCAGGAGTTCAATGTTATATATCGGAAGCTTTATCAAAGAACAGCATTGACCTATATCATAATGATAAGCCCCATCTTGATTGCCGTTCATACAAGCTTAATAGTGAATCATTTGAAAGAAATATATTATGTACAATCGTAAAATTATCCAGGTCATTTCGTGCACGTGGATTTGGCTTATTTGGGGAATTTTTGTGTGAATGATTATTGCGAAAGTGACATCCTTGGTAGTATTCAGCGCTTCCGTCAGATATTTAGCGATGCTGGTTTTATGATTTTACTTGTGAAACGCCATGCTAAAGAATTGTTAAAGGCACAAGCTTGGGATTAAACCATTAGCACTAGAGAAATGATAATGTGTGAGGTTTCAGTTTATTGACTACGAAGAAGAAAAAGAGGATGGAGAGAGCGGTGGTGGGAGAGACATGGGATAAGATAAAGAGAAAAGGATGGAGAGATGGGGATTAAAAGGGAGAAGAAAAGAGAGGGAGATAATGGGGGTGCGAGAGAGAGAGAGAGAGAGAGAGAGAAAGGTGGGCGGGGAAGGATCCATTTAGGAAACAAACAAGAGGAGAAAAGGGGCTGAAAACATGTAGAAAGCACAGGAATGCAGATCAGATCGAATTGGGAGGAGAGCCGATACTCATACACGGGGAAGAGATAAGTTTGAGAAGAAGGGATGCGTCGAAGAAAAGGGGAAGAAAAATGAAGAGAAGAAAATACAGAGGAACTAAAAGACACGAATGACTTTTAGGGTGCATGACAAATATAATCTAAACCCATTTATTTAGAATAATTCAATTTGTTAAAGGTAATAAACGATGTTGGTGAAGGTCGTAGATTTGATTTAACTTATTTAAAGGCTAAGTCCACTCCAACAAAATATTTTGCTTTTAATAGATGCACAGAGAGAAACAGAGCAAAAAAAATAGGTAAAATCGGATAACTAATAAGGAAGTTATGAATTTTGTTTAAAGTATGAAAAACTATGGAACTGAGAAATCTAAATGCCCCACCATTTATCAATTGCTTTGTACATTTTTATCACACTAATTCCCTTTTTTATCCCCAAAACTTGATTTCCCATTTTATATGATTTGTATCATATTGCGTGCTTGATATTTCACAATTTTTTATGAACTTTTAGAGTTGATACTATTTTGGGAATATTGTATATTCATAATCATTGATTTTTATATAAATAGTTTATCAAAATTCACATTTGTCATGATTTAACTGAAAAAATTACTCTACCGGTATATTAGTACATCCACACACACAAAATATTACGATCAATATACTTGGGATGCTGGTGTGAATAAAAAGAATTTTAGAAGGAAAATTGGAAATTTACACTATCAATATAAAGTAAACAATTATTGGATAGTGAGGCAATGACGTCACAGACTCATGAGTGAGTTGCCAATTTGTCTTGTGATTTTCAAAGTTTTTCATGTCATAACTTTCTTATTAGTTATCCGACTTTGCTCAAATTTTGTCTGGTTGGTTTGTCTTGATTTTTTTGCTTCTATTGAAGGCAAGTTATTTTTGGAGTGGAGTTGCCATTTAACTTTATCTTTTTCTCTTTTGTTGAGGGGAGGGATGGAGTTGAATGTCCTTTTCTTTTAAAATATTGTTGGTCCTAGACAATCATTGCTCTGTCACTGTGTCCATTGATCTGCACTGCAAGAAACCTGTCCAGTCAGACAATTCTGTATATTTCCCCCTTGTCTTCCTTCAGCATAGCAGTGTGTACTTTACAAAATTAATGTCAAAACTTGGTAAGGGTATGAATAACTAACTGTACGGACATTGATAACAGAATAATCATCAGGGAACATGCACGTATGATTTCTTAAAATGCAAGCATTCAAAAACAAATTAGGGGGTTGTTCTATACCGCAATATGTGTATGGGGTTATACAAGTCAGGAACTCTGACCCGTGTGACCTTTTAACAATATAGTGCGTTACCTCTCATATAATCTTTAGAATGAGACAAAATTAACTGCAACACGGTCTATAAGACTTTTGAACAATCAATTCTAGGTTTCAATACCCTAATGTATATCCCAATTCATGTTCTGATTATCAAAGTACATGTAGTATGTCATTGTAATCTTTCACATTTCAATAGGTACAAGACTACTGAAACTGCTTTGGATTGACTTTTCAAAAGCCTTTGAGATTGTGTTATGCATAAAATGCCTGAGAAGTTGCTACATTAATAAAGAGAATGCAAGAAAACATTTCATTACTCAAAAACTTTACTCTTTTATTCATCAATTTCCAACAATTCAAATTAACCAGGAATGTGACTGAAAAGTACATGTACTCCTGTTATACCCAAGATGTGTCTAGTATAAAAAAGAATGAAAAATATATGAAATTAGTGATCAGATAAGCTTATAAAGTCATTCTAAATGTACGCAACATTCACAACAGTTTGCATGTACATGTAGTATCACAATTCACAAAGGTGTGGAATTTTGCTCAGTGATTTGGGATGGTGTACATTCATAGACTGACCAGATGTGTGATAGTTACTACTCTCAGACTGACTGACCTCCAAGTTTAAAATGCCCTTCTTATAGACATGACTTGGATTTGAGCTCGAGTTGGTTTATCGGAACACCAGAAGCCCAACCACGTTATTTATATCCTCACAGTTAGATGTTCTTTCTTCAATACACAGACCACTAAATCAAAGTACAGTGTGTACATATGATTACATCAAGTCATCAAAACTTTGATACATGACAACAACAAAATTGCCAATACATGTATTGCAAACTGAGTTGGGTAGCTCTAGGTGCATAGAACTAAAGGTTGATAATGGACTGTGTCATCTCACAGATATGTTATTACGCCCATGTAGAAGTGACTTAACATGATCACAGACTCATCCTTGGTTTCACAAACCGATGTACCGCACACATACTGTAGGCTGATACCGGACGGTAAAGGGAATAAAACTAGAAAATTCACAAGTTGATACGATACATGAAACAAAGAAACAAAAAGTTTACATTCAACTTATTACCAACTTGACAACAAAGGTCACTTTGAAATAAAAAAAATTAAGTTTAACTATTGAGCAAATATTATACAGCAAAATGTTCTTTTTTTTTCATTCCTACACAACATCTACAGCTTGAGCAGGCATTAAGATGTACATTTGCAAACAGATAAAGTGTTCACACCTTCAAAACATCAGAACAATGTTACACAAAGAAAATAAATGTTTTCCAGCATAACAGACCTATTTTACGATGAACTGCTTTTCTTGTAGGTTCTGTTTATTTCAAAATAAATTGTCATGATTCTTGGGCAAACATACTATGGGTATTAATTAACAATTGCATTATTCACCCAAAATAGAATGCAAGACCTATCGGTACTTGAAGCGCAGATTATTGAAGAAATAGATAACATGAGGGTACAAAGATTCTTTATTTTTTCTCTCCATTTCTACATGTAGTACATGACAGTGCATAATGGTACAACTTACATCAGAATACAGGTTTAAAATGTACAAGACAATCAAATTGTTTTTTTTCCTTACCTTAATACATGACAGAAATAGAATAAATATATGGGTTGGTTTTTAAAAATCAGCAAACATACAATTATGGAACTCAGTACTTCTCTAAGTCACCAGCCAATATAGGGATACACTTTTAAGCTTCTTCTTATGTCACAAAATCTTGCTGATGGCTTTGTTTTCATTGCATTCCTACCTATTTCTTGGGTTTCTCCTATTGTACATAAAGAACAACAAAAACCATTTGAATATCAAGTACATAAGGCAAAAAATGGGGGAAAAATACAGAGAAAGATATACACATATATTAAACAAACTGGAGGTGAGAACTTTTTAAAAGGCCATCTACAAAATCCAATGCAGAAGATAATCTCCATACATTCTTTGTTACATGACCTTGCATTAGTCACTTAACTGCCACACACAACTCACACATCTCTTACAGTATACATGCACTATCTGTCACCTGCCAACTGTCCCTCAGCCCCCTTCCCTACCCCTTAGAATTCCTAAATTAAAATCAATAATCCTCCCACTTCCTCTGTTGTCCTCCACCTCTTTGGAACCTGCCCCCACGGTTACCCCCATACCTGTCCTGTTGCTGGTAACCGCCTTGGTAGCCACCCCTGCCACCACCTCCCTGGTATCCTCCACCTCCCTGGTATCCTCCCCTGCCCTGGTATCCACCCCCGCCACCGCCTCCACCATAACCTCCCCTACCAAACCTCTGGTTTCCATACCCCTGGTTGTATCCTCCGTATCCTCCTTGACCTTGGTTTCCGTACCCTCCTCCTCCTCCTCCATAGCCTCCTCTGCCTTGGTAGCCACCTCCCCATCCTCCACCCTGTCTGTTGTAGTTCTCTTGATGCCACCTCTGCCTGCTGTCGTTATTATACCACTCGTCGCGACCGTCGTAGGAGCGTTTCATTCCTCGACCGCTGTTAAAGCGCCCGCGACCAAACCCTCTGTAAACAAATGTTCAGAGAATTTCTGATGTAAGTCATGGTCATGGGCACCAACTTCTCATTATATAAAGAATGATTTTTCTTATTCAGATATTACATGATGAAAATATGATTTAATAACACTCATAATCAACTACACCATAACAAACATTTACTGAAGCTATTATACCTATTACCAATATAAGATATTGATTGGCCAAGATGTCTCATGTTGTTCTACTCTAGTTTTAAAGTAAATTGCACAGTAAATATATTCATTCCCCACCAATGTCTTCTAGTTCATATCTCACAGAAAAGGAGTTGATCCATTTTGTACATAACAATTCAAGCCATAAACTAGGAATGAATTTAAAAAAAAGTTCTAACAAGATCAATATCGGGCATGACCTAACACCCTTACCGTTACAGGCAATATGTTTGCAATCATCACTGCTTTAAATTTCTTCTTTGCACAAATCAACCAAAATGAGAGTTATGATAATACCCATCTGTTTCATTTCTTCTTGGAATCACACAAATGATGCTAAGAATTCAGTATTTTTGCTTTTGGCTTGGTTGCTAATGATACCTCAAGTTTTATGTTATGTCACGTCTCGTTGTTTCTTTACCCTGATCTGCTTGGTATCAAGTACAGGAAAACTATTTTTTTTATATGACATGAAACTATTGAACATATCATACCTTTGATTTCTCGGCCTCATGACCTGGTAATGGTTCAAGATTGGTGGAACTCTGGCTTCTTTAATATTTGTCACATATTCTTGGAACGTTACGTCATCCTCCGTGAATCTGGATGCAAACATATCCTCAAACCTGGCCAGAACCTCCTCATCGACTGGCTCAGCTCCAGTGACTGGGGTCTCGGTAGATTCGACTTCCGTCATTTTGAAGTTTTCTGCAAAAAAATTTGAATGAAGTGGATTCAACTGCTAGTGAAACTTGTGAAAGCAAGAAAGCAAACAAAAATGAGGTGGAAAAAGATTGATCGTTTGTTATAGAATTTTTCAGACAAAATGGAACAAAAAAACCTGATGAATTGCTTTTTTCTTGTGATTGTGAGCCTCGTATCCAAATATATATATATATATATATATATATATATATATTTGATTCAAACTTTGCTGTCCATTCGGTAATTATTGAAATAAATTAATTTGTGAAGAATATGAGAAATCACAAATCAAATATCACATTCTCTAATATTTTCAAAATCTCTGAGCTCTGCGCACTTTGGTCACCCCTAGCCCTTCAAATTACAACGAATCCGGGCTAACTCAGACTCGGGGACAACTCAGCTCCGCTGCAAATATGGGGCTAATTTGAAGTTGTCCCAGCATACCCTAACTCCAGGAAAATGCTGAATATGCACGACTCAAAGGTCCCTCGGTCCTTCACAACCTCGTACATATTCAGCATTTTTGAGCAAACAGCGCTCTATAGCATGAATATTCATATTTGCTGCGCCGCTACCGCGCATGCGTACTTTCTCTTCGCCATGTTGACGATACAACATGGATAGCTCGTTTTAGGGCGAGGAATCACCGTTTTTGCCATCGAAGACTTCTTCAAATTATAATTTCGAGTGTGGTGCGACATGCCCAGAGGAATCGAAAGCACTGTTAGTCAGAATTTGTAAAACTACCGTTACCCACCTCGGGAAAAATGTCGCCACAACCACTGTTTGATTTTTGTTTCAGATTTCGCACTGAAGCTCCGAGACTGAAGGCGTCAGCATCGGAGCTTCCTCAAATTAAACATACCCCAACTTTAACCCTAACCGTAATGCTTAAACCCTACCCTAACCCTAAAGAATTTATTAAAAATTCAATCATGCCGGGATAACTTGGCCCTAGATCTAGACTAGGCCTGTAGAGTAAAGGAGCCGGTTTTCGGCCACTTAAGACAAAATCCTATTTTTTGGACCCTTTACTTCCTATTTATTATCACTTTTTGTTCAAATCATGAAGCAAATATTATTATTATTTAAACAAAACAAGAATTCCAGAAAAAAATCACGAATTGCCATGACAATATTCATTTCAATTTTCACTGTTTCGGAGTCAGTTTTCGGCATAGCCTACCAGTTTTCGGCCGCATGTACAAAGTCAATAGGAAGGGCGCGCACGCGCCGTGCGTTTCCGCGCTGATCTATAGCACTAGCGGGCGGAGCAGATATCCCACGCCGGAGCTCCCCGGAGCTCGCCAGGCCGAAAACTAGTACTGCGGTGATCGGATATCAGAATCTGAATTAGACAGAGATATCGTGTGTGCGTTGCGGTGTGCGGCTGCATTGATTTAATACATACGATGAGATACTTTTGAGCTTGCGAATAGCACAAAATCGGGCTCTAAATCTGAAAAATACTTGAATTCTATTTACTCATTTTATGGTACCCATATTTCTTACAGACACGCGTAAGATACTAAGGCTGTGCACAACAGTGTAATGAGCTACCCGAGTACACTCCCATGCTTACAAGCGAATACTCGAGTATTCGGACGCCATGTTTTGTTTTGTTTTGTTTGTTTTTTTTAATTTTAAAAAAAAAATTATTTATTTATTTTTTTATTTTTTATTTTTTATTTTTATTTTTTTTGCCACCACCATACATACCACTTGAGCAGTATCCCAGTTCTGTCGCCGAAAACGCATGCAATTTTACTTTGAGTTGCAGTTGAAGGCGCCGATTTAATAATAATAATAACAGTGAACAATGCTGTTTTAAAAACCAAAGATGGCAGAATAATCCATTTTCCTCCAAGTCCAAGCAGAAATCCAGACATTTGGTCCCAGTTTCTGAGTGGTGAGTTTGACAGTGCTTGAGTTGGGAAACATTTTTACCGACGGCAACATGCCAGCGGCCGCCGCTCACCCAGGCACGGGTAAGCGTCGGCCTGGACATTTTTAATTTTTTTTTAATTTTTTTTTTTTTTAATTTTTTTTTTTTTTTTTTTTTTTTGCAGCCGAATATTCGGGTACGAGAAATCATACCCGAGTAGTTGTCAACCGTGCGGGTACTCGAGCATTCGACTACCCTTCACAGCCTTATAAGATACTCGATTTTTCAGATTCGGGTAGCGGGACCGCCGATTACATCGCTAAAATGTGATATTTTAGGATATATTTTTCATTGCAAATGTGGTTCTTCAGTGACACTGGCATGGTATGGTATGTGTGGGATATGTGTTATGCTATTATGCGATGTATTTTAGAGGGATTTTACCTTGCATCCAACCAATCGGCCGAAAACTGGAGCTGGCCGATTACCGGCTCCTTTACTCTAGTTAGGCAAATTCATGCAAAAAAATATATTCAAGAAATTGACTTGAAAACACATCAGACAATTAGTCTGAACCGAGTCAGGAGCAAATTTGAAGAAATTATATTTTTAAATGTTGTAAAACAAAAGATATAAGAAGAAAACTGACCAAGTATCTGTACTAAAAATCGTACATGTAAAATTGGTCGTAGACATTCGACAGCTGAAAATGACGCACCCGGTTGTGGTACGTACGTTCTCGAATCCAAAATCGTATCTCACACACACACTCTCGCCATACCGCGAATGGTCCGTCGTGGGGAGCTAGCCGCCCGAGAGTTTGCCAGCGATACCAACGCACCCTCGGAGCTCCGCAGCGCACAATTTTAGCGGAACTCGAAAGATTCGAGGTGGGAAGGTGGCGGGCTAGCTTTTTGCCAAAACCACGCTAGAACGTCTGCGGGCAAAGTAAAAATAACTACGATCGAGAACATCGTCGGTTTCAGTGAGATAATTCTGAATTCTAATTGAGACTATATAATAAATTATATCGACAAAGAAACCTCAGTAGATCTCTTATAACTATACAAAAGCTTGTTTATTTCTCGTTTTGACATTTGTTTTCGAGCCATCTTTTTGTGCGCGAGTCAATGCAAACTTTGTATTACCAAACTTTCAACACGCAAGGAACGGGGAACACTCGCGGACCCCGTATCAAATTCGTTTGAAAAAAAAATTTCAAGGGTGATTTTGAAGCAGTGAAGAAAATTTGCGCGGCGAACTTAAAAAATCACACCTGAATTTTCAGAAAATCGTATTTGCATTACCGAGCCCAGTTGTGAGTTAATTATAACTCAGATTTTATGAAGATTTGTCGGAAAAAAATGTCATTTTTTTCCGTTTGGTGGTCATTTCTAGGCTAATATTTAAAAAGTTGCATCAGTAATGGGCCCGATGTTTCTCTTATCGTACTCGCATGTTATTTCTACATAGATTAAACATAGGACGGTTAGGGGTAAGACCGGATAGCATTATAAAAAAAGATATATCCTTCCACCCTCCCATATCCAAGTTTTGGGCTGATTATTGCCGACCCACCGCAGCAAGGCCATTCAGAGTTTTGTACGCTCGCGAAGCGCCCTCTAGTGCCCCATGAATGTGCCTAGATCTACTCTAGTATATTGATGATATTCGCAATGGGCCGAGTTAGCCGGACTCGGATCATTCATACAACATGCAATACACACGATACATGTTGAACTTCCGATCCCGTCCACTTACACAGACATATATGCAGGCCAGATAAAAGACGACAGAGTGTCAAACAAAAAGTGACAGTCGCTATCATTATCATCATGGATTCATGGCCGTCTCTCTCTCTCTCTCCAGCTCCATCTCACACTCACCAACAGCTACACATGCGCCCGAGCTGCGGTACCGTTGTATTATGTAGGGACGTCGTGTCGGCAAGCATGCACACATGCAAATGCACGACACGCTATAAAAAGCCCTCACTCGCGTGATAATTCCAGAAACTACGATTTTTAACTAGTTAATAAACGTTACTTCGTCCAGTTAATAAATATCAAAGATAACGGCCATGTGGAGAAATTATTGCTTGAGTAGAATCATTTGGAAAAGTTCCATGAAATGTGATTAAAATGTAAAATTACTTACAAAATGTGTGATGGCCGCAGGCTTTCTAGATCTTTGTCCAAATGTTGCACACGTTCACATGCACAGTTATTGCCAATTTAATGAATCGGAACCGAAACGTAAGGATTTTTCTTTAAAAAAAAGTAAAATTGTTTTAAAATGTTTAAATGTGATGTATAGGTGTTCCAGTGGATAGGTCTACTGTGAACCCGTGACCGTAGGTATACGGGGTTCCAACCCCTGCCACAACACTTACGAACAAAGCCCCCCCCCCCACTTTTTCAAGTAGGGCCTACCCCAAAAGTACCCCTTTTTACATGATAATTATAATGATAAATAAAACGATGCCTATAAAGTGCTTACCACTGTAATCTCTAAGCGCTATAACAAACAAAATACAATAATAAACATAGGCCTACATATTAAACAAACTAAAAATACAAATAAACCTACAAAATACAATACATCAAGGCATCAATACATCAATACATCAATGGGAACAAAGTAACTTAATCATTAAAAGCAATTTTGAATAAATGTGTCTGAAGAAAACTGCCCCTTTAATCATGTTAAAGTGCCCCCCTTGTCACCTCTGATAAGTGCCCCCTTTCCTTCGAAAAGTTCCCATTTTCCTTTGCAGTATATGTTCATTTACTATTCTCATAAGTGCCCTTTTTAATCTCTATGGTAAGTGCCCCTTTTCACTTTTGATAAGTGCCCCCTTTGTCTCTGATAATAACCCTATCCAAATCTGAAAGGTGCCCCTTTTACTTTGACAAGCGCCCCTTTTCCTTTGTAAGAGGTGCCCCTCCCCTTTTTAATTCAGATAAGCGCAGCTTTTATTTTCACATGTGCCCCTTTTCCTTTCTAATAAGTGCACCTTTTCCTTATGATCAATTCCCCCATTAAAAAAGGCCCGTTCCCCTTCTCATGAATTCCCTTTTTCCCCTTTGAAAAGTGTCATTTTTATTCGCATTTAAGTTCCCCTTTTTATCTTAGGTAAAATGATCCTTTTCAGGTACGAGAAGTTAATCCTTTTCATTTAAAATAAGAATGGAAAAGGGAGAAATGTGGTATTTGTTCAATATTCCCCTTCTAATAATGGCAGAGTGAGTCTGAAAGACCGGTGAAGCGGACAATTAGAAAACGGAAGCCTGATCTCTTTTGCTTTTTAATTTTATTGAGAAATTGCATCACTAGTATACAAATATATACACTGTCTTGAGAGGTTCTGGTTAAAACTATGCGCAAGAGGTGACTCCAATAGTACTATTTGCTGAGGGGCACAGCCCGCGTAGCAAATGGTACTTTTGGAGTCAGCGAGGCCCATAGTTTTAACCAATACTTCGAATAGAGGCATGGTATATTTGTTGTATATCCTGCATCAAAATATTATTTTATAATTTAAAAAAAAAAATTAAATTAAAAAAAATTATCTAAAAAGATTTAAAATATTTTGTTTTCATTAAATTAAGATTTGAAGGAAAAAAAAAATCAATTCAAAAATAAAAATTCACATTCTTTTTTCAACTCCCAAATAGTACCCCCAAATAGGACTCTCATATAGTACTTTCTACTTCCAAACCCCTAAGCTTCCGGGGGCTCCGCCCCTTGGACCCCACACCTATTTGTGTCCTGCCAGTGTCACAAATAAGGTATAAAAATATGCTCATCTGACGTAATTTCTCCACTTTCCCCTTAGCCATGTACCTTAATATTGTTATATATGTTAAAGGTGTCACCCTGGACCAAAAATATATGATAAGAAAAAATCTACCAGTTTTTCATGATTTTTACTAAATGTTTAGACTTTTTTCTTGTGGATTTAGCTCCTTTTGGAATGAAACATGATATTGTACCTGGAAAATTTCATATTTTCTCAATAAAGTCACTGATTTTTTTCAAATTTAGTAGCAAACCTTTCCCTTTAAATAATGAAAGTGAAATCACAAATAAAAAAACCTTTTGAAAAGAAAGCCTAAACAACATATCACAGTTTCATTCCAAAAGGATTTAAATCCGTTTCATTCCAAAAGGAGCTAAATCCATGTTTCATTCCAAAAGGAGCTAAATCCACAATATCTAAAAAAAATAGTAAAAATCAGAAATAACTGGTAGATTTTTTTTCTTATCATATATTATTGGTCCAGGGCGACACCTTTAACATACATCACAACATGAAGGTACATGGCTAAAGGGACTCAAGTGGAGAAATAAAAAAGGTGATTTACTCAGAAGTACCCAAAGTGGATTTAGCTCCTTTTGGAATGAAACCGATTTGGATTTAGCTCCTTTTGGAATGAAACATGATATTGTATCTAAATTTGTTCATACTTCCTAATGAATGTGATATAGTGCATTTTGTCCCATGTAGGAAATCATTATTTTAAGACAGATAACTCAATTTTGATAAAATATGGATTTAGCTCCTTTTGGAATCAAGCTCTTCATATGCTCATCTGATGGTAATTTAATGTATAAAACCCCTGAGCTTCTGGGGGCTCCACCCCCTGGACCCCAATTTATTTTGTGTCCTGCCAGTGTCACAAATAAGGTATCAAAACATGCTCATCTGACCGTTAGTAACTGTAAATGCCTATACCCCTTGAACTTCTGGGGGCTCTAACCATCATGACAAAATATGTCTCGTACAATATTGTCTGAAGTCTAAACTAATTCTCGAAAGATTTTTGGAATATTGCATGTAACTTCTCCAAATTACTGATTTAAATCAACTGTTCAGACACACAACATGATCCATTCACAGTATTACGGAAAATACTCCTTTTCAAGTTCAACCCCCGCCAATGGTTTTGCTCTAAATTTATGAAATAGTTATCAAATTGGCAAGACTAGTACTGCGGATCAAGATCGACGCACAAGCTTTGTGGTAGCTTCAATTCACAGGCAGAGTGCTGGTGGTGTGTCGATCGAGCTATTCGTGCATAAGTATGCTTCTAGGGTTTTAGTAAAGGCCGCGGCGAGGAAATCATTGCGGTATAATGTCCATGCCGTGCGCCGGAGCTTCGGGATAGACTCGAATGTCAGCGATAGGCTGACGACTCGTACTCCAGTAGCCGCGCGTGAAAACTCTACTAGTTATACGATTGATACGAACATCTTCCAGCTCCATTTAAAATTGTAAGTAGATCTAGATCCTATCTTGATTTTCTCTTGATCAACTTTAGGAATATCAAAGAAGAGTTTTCCGGTAGAGAGAATAAGAAGCAAATTAGACTAGATTCTAAGCAGAAGGCCGAATTAAGCTAAGGAGAAGAATGAGAAGGAGAAGAACGAAGGAGAAGAAGTAGGACTAGGAGAAGGAGGATGAGGAGGAGGAGAAGAAGAAGAAGATGAAGGAGGAGGAGGAGGAGGAGGAGGGGGAGGGGGAGGAGAAGAAGGAGAAGAAGATGAAGAAGAAGAAGAAGAAGAAAGAGGAGGAGGAGGAAGAAGGAAGGAAGGAATGAAGGAAGGAAGGAAGGAGGAGAATCAACATTATCAAGGAAGAGGAGGAAGAAGAAACAGAAGAAGAACAAAGACTGATTTCCCATCTATCAAAGACTGAAGCTGGCCAACCCTGGAGAAGTGATCAAGGATTACAAGATAAACCTCTCAATCTCATATGAATATGATGATGATGATGAGGATGTGATGATATTGATAATGAAGAACATATTAAGAGTAAGACAGAAAAGAGGAAGAGGAAGAAGTAGATTATAAGTGGAAAGGAGAAAAAGAAGAGAAGAAAAAGGAAGGAGGAGTTGTGCCGCTAGTTTTTTTTATTTGAATTTATATCAAAAAGTGTACGTGCAGATCTGCCAATCATTTTAAAACATGGCCTACAACAAGAAAATTTGTGTCCAGAATTAAACGAATGTATGAAATCAACTCGTAGTCTCGTACATTACAAAAATAATTTCCTTGGCACTTTTTGGCAGTAGATGAGCTGACGGCAAAAGAGTATGAAGAAAGGAACAGATAGAAAGCTACATTGTAGAGTGTAGACCCCAAGTTAGACGCACAGAAACCAAGTCGAACTTGGGTTGGGTTCCTAGAGGACCATATTCTGTGCTAGCATGTACGCGTGCGTTGACGAGTCTACTCGCATGTAAATGTAGCTCTTATGTAAACTTAGAGTGTATTTTTAACTTGCACTATCTTGTTATCTTCATAAAGAAGTAATATTGAAAGCTACCTTGGTTCCCCTATCTTACACTGAGTTACAGAGCAGAATATTCGTAGGTGATTAGTGCACTTTGAATTGTTTATCAACTCGTGCAAAGAAACAGTTGACTAACATAGCATGGTCTTTTCAATATTCATCAATTGTTATGATCGATCTTTGATTAATAGAATTTCATTGGTTTCTCTCTCATCCAGATCCTCATTTTACAGTGTTCCTTCAAGGAAAACAAGATGTATCATACCAGCAGTCAGTTGAGGGAATGGACATTTCAATCCCAAGAAGAATTGAATGAGAAACGGGCAGCTTCCAACCGAAGATACAGGGAGGAGCATCAAGCCAAATCTGAGGTATGAATTATGACAATCCTACTCAAAGATGAAAAGAGCTAGAAAGATTGATTTCAGAGTTGTCCTTTATCTTGTCTTGTCTATATACTGCACCAGCTGCCGCTTCCGGGCTGTAAACGGCAGTCCCTCATGCATGCAGTTGCGACTGCGTTAGGAGACAACAAGAGGCTCCTTCAAGATAACTTAAAGTTATTCTAATTTTCTGGTGAGGGCATTTCAAAGGAAAATTTATTTTAAAGCTTAAATGTCCAAAGTCGCAAAATACCAAGGACCAACTCATGGCTCTGCTGTAATTATTTGTCATTAATAACACTGAAAGGTGGTTTATCCAGATATCACCTACCAGTAATTCTTGTAATTATTGAATTTATTATTTTTTTAAAGAATACTGAGAGATGTACCATCAAAACCTAATATGCTATTACAAAGAGAAAGGAAAAAATATCCATGCTTCCTTGATAGGTTTGAAGACAGAGTTAACTCCAGAATAGGACATTAGTGAAGGCATTGTAAAGTTAAATTTACAAGTACCGTACATGTGTACATTACTTTTTATCTTTTGTAGGGTAAAGATCCAGCCACTTTCTTCCTGAGTGAAGCAGAGGAGAGGACACTTTGTGAATCCTACGAGTTTCTTCTCAGAGCTTTCTGTAAGAAGTTTCAGCCCCCTGTGCCTCCTGCTGTTGTGGTAAGCGTACCTCCGTACGTACGTCCGTACGTCCCGTTCTCGTGATCGCGTTATCTGAAGAACCGATTGATGGATTCCTGCCAAACTTTGGTCATGTATGTATCTTGCAGAGCCGATGAACTGATTAGATTTTGGGGTCACGAGGTCAAAGATCAAAGGTCACAGGGCTCATTATGTATGCTGAAACAGCTCGTGATCGCGTTATCTGAAGACCCGATTGATGGATTCCTGCCAAACTTAGGTCATGTATGTTACTTGCAGAGCCGATGAACTGATTAAATTTTGGGGTCATGAGGTCAAGGTCAAAGGTCATGCGGCTCATTATGCATGCAAAAATAGCTTGTGATCGCATTATCATTAGAACAGATTGATGGATTCCTCCCAAACTTAGATCATGTATGTATCTTGCAGAGCCAATGAACTGAGTAGATTCTTGGGTCATGAGGTCAAAGGTCAAAGGTCATGGGCTCATTATGTATGCAAAAATAGCTTGTGAACGCATTCTCATTAGAACTGACAGATGGATTACTATTTAACTCGGGACATCTTGCAGAGCCAATGAACTGAGTAGATGTTAGGGTCATGTGGTCAAAGATCAAAGGGTCATATATGTATATGAGAAATTGCTTGTAATCACGATATTCTGAGAACCTGTTAATGGATTACAATTGAACTTGAATTTGAACAATTTCTTCTGTTTTGGTTTGTAAAATTGCTCTATGACGGAGGCATCATTTCGACTGCGCGCAGTCGAAGTTCCATCTAGTTTTTTTTTTATTTGTCTTTTTTCGAGAGAAATGACCCCTTATAATGGGTAGGGGTTTCGAGGCTTGAGCGGCACACCCCCGTCCAAACCAAATCTGAGTATTCCCCCCCCCCCCCTTGACTCAATATGCTACAAAACATTCAGTTATTGTCATTATTTATTCATTTATTCATTTTCCCATTTGTTTGTACACAAAAATTGACAGATATTTTATTTTAACTATTGCGTGAACAGATGTGAATTTCAAGGAGCTAGACAGTTTGAAAGTATACATGTGTATGTGCACCCGTCCCAATATAAACTGAACTTTAGATTGTGATTGCTTGTGTGTATTTCACCATATGGTTAGTGTAAGGTATGTTAATATATATTTCAACAATATCCTGATAAGTGCTGGTAGTACAAGTACACTTCAACTTGTAGAGATCAAGGGAGAATGATCAAGTTACTCTATTGGGGTTATCCTTGTTTTTTATACATATTATTTACAGGTACTGTGTAAAAGGGTTAGCTTTTATAATAGTATTTGTGTCCCACAATAGAGTTTATTTTCTTTCCCAGTTGTATTAGCATCTTACATTACAAGTATGCATAAAGAGTTATCTGCTTACATAAAACAAAGAACCAAAAAAAGAACTGCACATTTTTGGTTAATCTTTAGATTCAGCAAAGTTGAACTGGAATCTATAGGAAGTGTGTAAATTGAACCAAACCGAATTGTATGGCTTTTTATGTCCAGGCATGGAACTTGTCATATTGGAGGTGATGGCAATAAAGATTGTAATAAATTTATTTGTGTTGACTTTCAGGGGTTGAACAAGTAGAGGAAGATACATGATGTACAGATAATAAATCTGACAAAACTGTAACTCAATTAATAGCAGAAAAATGAAAGAGCCATGCATGAATAATGATGAAGTAATAACTTCTTTGTTCTTTTCCTATAGAAGGTTGAGGAAAATGTGTAAGATAGAGGGCAAGGAGACTAAAAAAACTTGCTATCTATGAGACTAGGTGATGGGAATGATTCCTTACCAAAGGGTACTTGCACATTAACTTATTCCACTTTTTTTTTTAATATAGCGCCAAATACATTGATACAACAATGTGTCTAAGCGCTTTACCGTTATATTATAACCCAGGTCATCGGATTCAGACTTACCCGCACACATTGTATGCAAATTCTCAACTCCCTGGGGAGCATTCCGGCCAGTCGCCATTTTACAAGCGCACACTTGAGTTTGATCCAGGGCTCTCTTCTCTGACAATCTATTCTCTGACCACTGGATCATTCATATATATTAATTAAGTGACTGCCAAATTTTATCATTTTCATAGGCTTAGTACAGAAATCTACTCCTAGCTGTGGCCAACGGGCTAAATGCCATATTGTTAGCATTTGTGTACGTATGATAACCATGACCTTTTTCGTTTCTCTTTTATGTGCAGGGAACATCATGTGCCTACTTCAAGAGGTTCTACATTTACAACACGGCAATGGACTACCATCCCAAATACATCATGTAAGTTTAGACAAAATTAAAAAAGATGACTTTGTTCAGTTTTCACACCAATTGTAGTCAGTTCTGACTTTTGTCATAAATCACTGGTTTCTTGAGAAGAAGGTTCACTCGATTAATATGGAGTTGACCTGACTAGTGTTTGTTCTATTACCTGGGCATCGTTTCACGAAACCATCATTAGAACGAGTTTGCAGACGACCCATTGAAATTTGTTTACCGGTATTAAATTCAACACATGTTTCAATGGGATTTCGGTGTACTTGTATTTAGGACGGTTTGGTGAAACCATACCCTGTTAATCATTACCAGCAGCATGTTGGCTATGAAGGTCACTTGGGCGAGTACAAGGTATTTGGTCCAATGTGTTGCCACTACGTCAGTGATTTCATTTACCTGATGATATTATAGTAGAATTTGATGCAGACTAAATATCAAGTTGAACAACACTTTCTTTATAAATCTTGTTTTATTTTTCATCATTCTTGGTGACGTATGAGACAGCAAAATACGTTGAATTTGACCACATGTTCATAGAAACATTGATTTGATAATTTTGTAACCTTTTGTTGTCTGGGCCCCGTCTTACAGAGAGTTGATATCAGTCGCAACTATGTACATAAGAGATAGGAAACTGCAAACTTTTGATTGATGGAAGGACTTGATTGATTTGGATCAATCACAACTCTATGTTAGACGGGGCCCTGGTCTGTTCTTGGTGAGTGATTGAATCTGAATTAAAACTTTAAATTTGTTCTAGGTTGACGTGTGTGTACCTGGCGTGCAAGGTGGAGGAGTTCAATGTCTCCATCTCACAGTTCTGTGGCAACCTTCAACCCGAGGAACAGGAGAAGATGGCGGAGTTGATCCTGAGTCACGAGCTGCTAGTCATGCAGCAGCTTAACTATCAGCTGACTATTCACAATCCATACAGACCCATGGAGGGCCTCTTCATTGACATAAAGGTATCTCGGTCAAATCTCATTGAAGCCTGTGTAAAAGGAAACTGTTTATAATAGTCCTCTGCTTTTCAAGACAACTTATTTCTTTTTAGCAGCCAGTATATACAGGTTTGTGCTCTAACACATTGCATAGAATATTGTCAGATTAAAATGGAGATTTATTTATTTTTATTTATTTATTTGACAAATTTATACAGGATAAAAAAAGAAACGATCAAATCAGCAAAGCTGTTTTTCATCGAAGTCTGGTTAACATGATTAAACATTTTCAATTCTAACCGATGGGATTCTTTTCATTACGTCAGTAAAAAAATACACAAAATAAGGCTTTAAATGCAAGAAAAACTCAATATTAGAAAGAAAAAAATTGTTTGAAAAATGAAGAAGTTAATGAATGACCAGTCTTATTTGTTGAGTGAAAAAATATAATAGCAACAATAAAGACGGTTAGGAATCACCATGGTTAGAGTAAAATAACAAGTGTAAATATACGAATATAATATATTCATATAAATATATTGATGACAAATCATAAAAGATCTCTATCTTTTCCAATTATGAATGGATCTATGTCTTTCTCTGCTAGATGTCAATATTGATGAGCATCACTTTTCTTTAGTGGTTGGAATTTTTATATCCTGAAATTCTCTTATTTCTGTTGTTATATACCAGAAGTCATAACCTTTGACCTTACTCTGACCTTTTACTTGCCACTGTCTCACAGACAAGGTTTCCAGCAATGAAGCAACCAGAGCTGCTGAGGAAAGGAGCTGAAGAGTTTATCAATAGATCTCTAGCTACCAATGCATGTTTACTTTGTTCTCCATCGCAGGTAATAATCTTTCTTTCAACTTTTGGCGAGCTTTGCAATGAAACCTAGCTTTTGTAATTGCTAGCACTGACATTAGTTGAGTGTATTGCTGTGCAGAAGTGCCTTTCGATTTAAAGGTACTATGTCCCTTTTGCAGCCAACCTCAAATTCTGTAGAACTTTGCAGGAATTATGAATATGTCATGTATGTCCTATCTGTGAAATTTAAACGTTAGCAGTGTCCTAATATTCAAATTATGCAAGGAAACCTGTTTACTTGCTAGACTTCACTGTCACACACTATTGAGTGACTGACTGGCTTTTTTCTTCTTTGGTAATAACATACATAAAATGAGCTGTAAAGGGTACATGAGCATTTGTCTACATCAGTAACCCACTTCTTGTGATGGCCAAAATTAAGCTGATGGAATCTATGCGCAGCATAAAACGTATGACCATTCGGTACAATGGTCTAAAAAACAAGACTATTACTTATTGGCTCTATAGCTCCTAAGTCGATTTGACAAATAATAGTCGTTATTTTCCCACTTGAAAACATTTTCAAGCTCCACCTTTTTTTAAGGAAGTTCTAAATTAGTATTATCTTTCAAATGCCGTTGGAATTTAACCTTTTCATTTTTTGGGCCTGCAAATTGGACATAGTACCTTTAAGTTTGGTTGTAGTGTATTTGTTTGTCTTTGGAGATGATTTCAGTTCATTAATGTTGTGGATTTTAACCTTATTTTGGTGCTCGCTCAGTCGAAGAATCGATCAATAATCATGCTACACCCCCTTTAAGTAAGAGGAAATAATATGAACAAAAGATGGTAGTACTGCACAGAGCCATGCAGGTCCACATGAATAGCATAATCCTCCTATGCAGTGACATACAATGGGCAGGAAGTTCTGTTTTATTTTGTGCCAGTTTGTGTCGATTCTTTAGATTTCATGCTTCTATGGTTCTGTGAATGTTCTATGGTGCTTGTATACAAAATCAATACCTACATTTGAGGTAGAACTCTTCATTGACATCGCTCATGTTGTGCATGAAGATGTGGTGTATGCAAACTTTAATTTAAAGTGCAAACACTTATACAAGCAGTCAGTCACATGGTCCACCACTCAGCAAAACTTGCGATGAGCTAAAATATGAAATATGATCTTTGCACAGTATCTCAGACATGGGTATGTAAATGGTTACAAAGGAAATCAAAGTGTTCATGTCCAAAAAGCTGGCAAATTGCCAAACTATGAGTATGAGTATGCATATAATCTCGATGGTTAACCTCAGTTAATATAGTTAATATCCAAGGGCTTATTTCCATTGACAACTCTTTGAATTTTGATTAGCTAGCATGGTGTTGCTCACCTAAATGCAAATAAATGATTTACCCCCACCTCTCTTTCACCAGAAATATATACACACTATGTTTGATAATGAAGTTATGAAGAACTTGTGTCTCAATGTCCATTTCATTGTCGCCCAACAGCCAAGCCGACATAAATGAATAGATAGATAGATTTTATGAAATGCAATTTCATTGCATGGGTATTTAAGTGTCCGGAGCTAAAATGTTAACTTTTTTTTCAATTTTGTGTGTGAATAAGATACTTGTAAGTAATCTGACCAAAGTGTATGTATGTTTACTTACTATTATTACATCATATTATTTCCTTTTGTAGATTGCTCTTGCAGCCCTTGTATCGAGTTCTGCAAGACAAGACACAAACATTGATAAGTGAGTCACTGCATATTTCTTTTTATTTCTTCCTGTTTAAGACCTATTCACCAAAGTTATGGAGAGGCATACATCATCAAACCAAAACAGTCAAGGTGGTTTCACTCTATTTTAACACCCATGTGAAGTTCTTTTATCAAGGTCATGTGAGGAAGACTGTATGTCAAATAATACTGTAGATCAACATATCTTGAAATATGCAGTAGGCTTGCTGGTGCACCATGTGACACATAGGGAGGATTGAGGAGTCCTGAAAAGGACTCTCTGTAATCTTTCTTGAGGGTTTGTAGTCCTGAAAAGGACTGTTGGTATAGTCTTGAAAAAGACTGTTGGTTATCTTTCTTAGCTTATAGTTCTCAGAAGAACTATATCACTTAGAGAGAAGCGGCATATGTTAAAATGTCTAAGGATCTGCTTCTGTATGAATATGTATGTGATATGACAAGAAGATAATCAACATTCTACTATTGTGAGTTACATTTTAAAGATATTATTAACCCTCTACTGATGGTTTGAATCTATAATAATTCCATATGCATTTTGAGTGAGTTTCATTATGGGTTATGATCTGGCTTTGTTTTACTCAAAAGGTTAAAATTGGTTTAGGTTCACTCAAAGTATTAGCTGCAATCATGCTTGCTTGATCAATAGTCCAGTTCACGATTAGCACATGTCCCAAATGACTCGGAATCTTGAAGAGGTCCCACTTTGTACATTTTGAAATAATCATTCCTACAGCGATGGAGGTGCTACATAAATAGCCTTTGTTTCCCCTTTTCAAAGAATACTTCCACCTGTGTATCTTGGAGTGCACTGCTTTGTGCATACATTAATAAGGATTACCGTACATAACTTTCATGAGCATGTATCCAGTATTTTGTCTCTGTGTATTTCACAATTTTGTCTGCAATAACCTTTATCTGCTCAAGCTCAGACTGTAACTACATGTATGAACTGGCTTATTTCACCCCCCCCCCCCCCCCATACCAAAACAAACTTATAGGTACATATAGGAACTTATAGGTAAAGAACATGATTAACAGAATTTCTTATATTTTATGTTATTTCTTTGCAGGTATGTGACTGATTATCTGATGAGGGGTAGAGATAATCCCAAGGATCTGCCAGATATAGTCAACACAATCAAACGTGAGCATGGAAGCAAGGCTACCAGCTATTTCCTATTTGCTTGACTAAATATATTTACATTTATTCTGTTTGTGATCTGAGATATCATCTATGAAGACATCTTTTCTTCATTTAGCCCTGTGTGATTCGGAGGGTCTTCCGTTTCATGTCTCTTATGTGTTCACCGCAACCTCTCTTGTCTCTATTTAACTTTTTTGGGGGCTCCTCATGCTAGTTTGGTAAGGGTTTTATTATATAACATGGTAGGTCTAGGTGCTTGCCTTGGTACTGCACATGCTGCCCATAGGGGGTATCAGGGTCTCTCACTTACCAATTTGATTTGGACTGTTTTAACCATACTGTATACAGAACGTTTATCTTGTAAAGCTGCTAGCTGAACATGGCCTTACATTCTAGGTTATGGATAAAGGAGTGGATATATTGACAGGCTGCAGTACAATCTGGTATTGGTAAGAAGTTTGCACAAGGTTTATCTTTCTATGTCTGTTTGATGAACCAGCCATCCATCTACAAATTTACCAACCCTTATAAAGCCAACACACTGGTGGGCCCTCCAGGGAAAATGCCCAAATATACCCTTTGCCATTTGTAAATCTGGCAGTGCATATACAAATCTGCTATTCAGTGAAGAATAATGAATTTTCACTTCCAATTACAGGAATAAATAGTGAATTTCCTCTGCCAAGCAATGATCAATATTTTTGTAAGTCAGCCATCTGTTTTCTTGTCAATTATATGTCCTAGATATAAGACAGTTAGTAAGAAAAATGCCTCAGCTCAACCCAGAGGCTGCCAAACAACTGGAGAGGAAGCTTGAGAAGTGTCGCAATGATGAACTTAACCCAGAGAGCCATGTGTAAGTAGTCTCTCGATCACTCAGTAGCTTACACTGTATTTAACATTTGTAATCTCCAGCTAGCCCGTCTATTCTTTATGTTATTTCCTTTTATCATGGGGGGTGGGGGGGATGGGGGCTTTATGCAAATCACTTATTTCTATCTATTGCAATGTTCAGATTTTATTTGATTAAGAATTAATACAAATTAAGTAGATTATTTGACTGACTAAAAACACCCAACAATACACAGTAACAACAAAAAGAACAACAATATTATATACAACTACAACAGCAGCAACAAAAAAAGGAAACAAAAAACGCAAAATGCCAAAAAAAAAGCTTGTGGTTCAGTCCTGTCCTTAAAATATTATTGAAATTGAAGTTAATTTCCAAGGATACTACCTGATGATATCACAATACTTGTGAAATGAAGTAAGGGGACCTTTCTCCCTTAATTTCTCCCTATACATTTGCTCACATTGAACCAGAAAACGAAAGAAAGTGATAGCTTTAAAAAAGATTGCTACAGTGTAAGCTTTGGTGAATCTTTGAAGTTATAGGCCCCGGTTTGGTAGTTTCTGGATAGAGAGAAAGGGATTTTGTCTTCATGAAAGGTAGATTGGCAAAATATAGTGGCACAAAAAACGCATCTGCAAAGTGCATAGTTATTGAAATCACAATTCTATTACATAGTGTTAGAACCACATTGACTGTGAGAATATGGAGCTGGTAATCTATATACGAATTTGATTTGACTTAACATCAAATAGACTTTTATTGACATATGTCGAAAAAGAACTTTTTTTATAGACATCACTAATTATTATCCCTATTGCATTCTGGACGCATCATTTCGTGCAACTATATTTTGCTAAGTTTGGTGATTTTTCTTAATTAGATACAAGAAGAGGTTACAGGACCAACTGAATGCAGACGATGAAGAAATCTATGTAAAACATCAACTAGATGCAGAGGTGAGAACACTTTATTAATATTAATCCACCCCCCCCCCCCCCCCCCTCTCTCTCATCTCTTTCTTCCCATATTATTCGCTTTATTTCTACACAGTTTGTTGTATAATACTTGAAAATGGAAACTCTTAATCAAAATTAATAGCAGTTGGTAGGATGAAAAAAAACGCCCTCCTTCTTATAGACAGACAGACATATCAGGAGAGAGAGAGAGAGTGAGAGAGAGAGAGGGGGGGGGGAGAAAGAGAGAGAGAGAGAGAGGGAGAAAGAGAGAGAGAGAGAGAGAGAGATGGAGAAAGAGAGAGAGGCAGAGAGAGAAAGAGAGGGAGACAGAGAGAGGGAGAGAGACAGAGAGACAGAGAGAATATCAGATGTATGAACAGACAGAAAAACAACCAAACAGAAACAGAGAAAGAGAGATGTTAGCAAAGACCCAAATATTCACAGGTAAAAAGTGAGTAAAAGAGAGAGGTAGTGTTACCTTACACTCAGCAAGCCACATTATTGCTTGTAATTGGATGATGCTGTAACTAAATGTATGTAGATGAACAGTGCCATCTGTTGATGAGCTTATTGTAGTACACATTTATAATACCTGACAGCTCTTAATTCAAGGGTGTACTAGTGATCTGATTACGGTATTCATGCCAAAATAGTAAGATGGTTAGACACCAAGATCATGTAGCTGCTTGTATAAAGTAGTTAGATATCTAATATGATCTTACAAGTAAAATGATGCTATGAAAATAAATGTCTCATCCATAATTTGCTCCTGAAATATTGCAGCAGCCATCACTAGAGCTGTTAAGGGGATCCAGGCATTACTAAATACACTATCTATGATAAAATGTCCCTTTAATGCAAGGTGACTGATTGAAAGATTATGGTTTGACCTTTATCATTTAGTTAAAATGTTGAGCTGTTAATATTTCCCTCTCAAAACAATTGGGGGGGAAAAAAATCATTACCAGTATCACTTGGCAATGCCAAGTTTATTTGAAACTTGTAAGGACATGTTGCAAAGAATCTGTGTTTGTTTTCTTTTTCGTAATACAGTTTATAATACAATGTCTGTGTTAGATTAAAGGTGGTGTAGCATGACGAGACTATGTGTCTTTCCTGTGGCCTGACTCTGGGCCAATCAGGTATAAGCCGACTACGGACGACGCGACTGCAGTATTCACGTGCGTGCAACATATGAGAAACCTAAGCGTGAGGAGAACCTTGGTCTGTTTCGCGAATGCTAGTGCGCGCTGACCGTTAATCAAGTCCATACGTTTACTTGCAGTTGTCCAAAAAAAGCCGTAGATGGCGTTGACCAGTATTTGTTATGCTACACCCCCTTTAAAATCCTTCTGAGTTGTGGCTCCAGACAATATATCAATTGACCTCTTTAAAACTAGTTTCATTTAAATGCTTCTTTGTACGATACCCTAATTCATGCGCATTTGCCACTTCTGCTATTCAATGAATTGTTATACAGTCTTTTGTTATACAAGTTTCATATTTCGACATTTAAAAAAAAAACCTTTAGCGTCCCCGCCTGCTTCCTTTTTTGAGGCCACCTGCTTTTTTCAACAAAAAAAATTTTATTAAGTTTTTTTTTTTTAATGAAAAAAAATTGAATAAATTATAAAAGCTGGCGGCCATCTTGAAAAATAGCCCAGCCAGATGTCTTGGAAAATGTGCCGACTGCTGAACGGCCATTTTGGAGAAAAAAGGGCCTCCGCTTTCCTTTTTTTTCCAAATGGCAGGATGCTAGACTTGTTTTGTTTGTTATTGGGCCTAATAGGCTATAAGATGTATGCATATGACCTTAGAAGCCATAGAACCATCTTGGGATTGATAATCTTTCTTTGTGAAGCATAAATTCATACAGTTAATAGGATAGGTGACAGTACAAGTAAGAAAGCTCACAAACAATATACATGTACATGTACATGTCAGCTCATCTTAAAAGATGAGGACAAATATTCCTATTCGAGGTTAACATTTTTGTGACTTGTGTACTAATCAAACAGTAGAAATTTATAAATCTAACGTATAACGTATCTAACGTATAACACAAATCCTAGTAAATGTACCAATGTAACCCTGCCACTTTGTTTCTTTAATTCAATTCAAATACCTCTTGTTTGAAGAAGAGTTCAAGTACACTGGTCCATCTTTTGTTCTGTAGTTCAAGTGTATTGTATCTGGTAATGATAATGAAAGTTAGTTAACCATAAAGAAAAACACTCATGGAAACAAGATTGAATATCCTTCAAAGGAAGAAGAGGAAGAAGTTCTGGGTTAACAATTAACCTTTTCTGCCCTACTTTGACACATGGAAATGATTGTCATCTGGGATATATCAAATTTAGTGGGAAAAGTAGCTTAAAAACAGACTGATCAAATACGGCAAAGGCTATTCAGAAGGCTGTGTCTTTGATTCTTGCATTGTAATACACTATTTACAGGAAGGTTAAATCTATGCAAAATGTTATTTGTTCATTTTTGTGAATATAGAGCATTGAAAAAGAACTAGATTACATGTAACAGTAATGGTATCAAAAACAATTATGCAAAATGTTATTTGTTCATTTATGTAAATATGGATTTATAGAGCATTAAAAAAAAAAGCTAGATTAAATGTAACGGTAATGATATTAACAAATATATTGGAAATAAACATAAAAAATTGGAAGGAGAGGTATGGAACATGATCGCGTGTTTCATGACTATCAAGAGACCCATGCCAAGTATTGTTATGAGTAATTATGAGCCTCCTTCACTTTTGATGAATTCTATTTAGTTTAGTGTAGACATAAGGGCCCCATATTCTACTTAAATTTAGTGTTTAGTCAAGACGATGGTTTTAGGATTTTGTTCACAAAGAGGTTTGACATTTAGGAAGTTGATGTGAGGTCTAAGTTTTTCTTTGCTAAAGGTGATTTCAGATACAGAGTCAGTAGAATATGGACCAAGACTTTCCACTTGAAGGCTACGCTCACTCTGTCTACATGTATATCTGAGCCCATTGTATGCTCTTTGTCTACATCATTCCGAAACATTTTGCATAATTTACAATATTTGCTTTTTTTCTTCTTCTCATTTTCATTAAAGCAAGTAACGGCAAACACAAATGGTTTAATTGCACTGATTCACTGTGAAAGAATTTGTATAATATTCCTGCTATGTGGATTGTTGTGGGTTCTCAACTTCTCATGGGTAATTTGAGTTAACACCCTTCAGCTATTTACCAGTACCTTTTAATGAGTGTTATAAATCACCAATAGTATACTTTACTTTAAAAAATTGATGGGTCTTGACTTTTGAATATCATAGCTGCCAATCATTCCTATTTTGGAGATATGATTCCAATTTTTTGGCCTTCAAGCTGTTTCAAACCCTAGATTCTTTCTTTTTTCAGAGATATTCTGTGTGAAGAGTATACAAAATGGACTGTATTCCCAATTTTGCCTTGAGAGATTTTTTTTTTTTTCTTTCTTCTATGAAAGGTTGGCAGGCATGATACAATGGACACACCCTCCACCCAATTCTAATAAAGGGAAGGCCATTCATTGTGAATTTCTTATCTGAAAGATGACCGAAAAAATTCTGAGTCTCTTGAAGCAAGTTCTTGGTAGCACACCGAATGTCGCTACCAGGCGCGGATCCAGGGGGGGGGGGGCCGAGCGGGCCTTGGCCCCCCCCCCCCCCCCCCCCCCCCGAAAAAAAAAAAAAAAAAGAGGAGAGAGAGAGAAGGAAAGAAGGGAAAGGGAAAGAGGAGAGAAAGGGAAAAAAGAAGAGGAAGAAGAAAAGAAAAGAGGGAAGAAGTAGATCGGAGGGGGGGGGGGGCAAAAGGACTTGCCTCCCAGGCTGTTGCCCCCCCCCCCCAATCAAAAAAAAAAGAGAAGGAAGGAAAGGGAAAGAAAAAAGGAAAAGAGGAGATACAAGAAAGGAAAAAAGAGGAAGAAGAACAGAAAAAATAGGGAAAAAGACACAACAAATCGTCTTCTTTCTCTAATGATTTAATGAATCGTAAGCTTCCGCTTAGCGCGGGAGGGGGAAAACTCAATTCAGACGAGGATTATTTTTTGGGAACGGTACAACAAATCGTCTTCTTTCTCTAATAATTTATTGAAATGTCAAAGCTTCCGCGTTTCGCATAATTTCAAATTTTGCCCCCCCCCCCCCTTTAAAAATCCTGGATCCGCACCTGATGTATATACAACGGCAACAGTTTCAATATAAAATGTAAGTTCTTCTTACTTAAATTATTGGTCTGGAAACAATTATTTGCCCATTGTTGTGTATTGTATTACATTTTCGCTGACAATGAATTCACATTGAAATGGTATTTTTAAGTTTCCCAGGCTTATTTAGGAGAACAGAAGATTGATATTGTTTAGTTGTACGATAACATCACTCAGTTTGATTTGATTTGATTGAAGATATATCTCATTAAAAACAGAGTAAAGGCTATACAGTTTCAAACAAACCTAAACCATTAAACTTCAAGCTCACTCACACATGATTTATTGCGACACTTTCAAGGCTACTTATTATTTCAAGTTCATGTATATACAAAGGGCAACAGCTTCAATATTAAACGTAATTAAATCAATGGTCTGGAAAATGTTAAGGCCCATTGTTGTATATTATACAACATTTTCCATAATGATGAATATACATTGTATAATGCAATTTTCAGGAAAACCATACTTGTCATTACTGTTATATTTGTTATATGATACTAAAGCAAATCGTTTCGCTTATCGATAAGATAAATCAATGTGAAGTACGTGTCAAATAATGAAATCATTACGTGCTATTTTTAACCGGACTAGACATTTGAAACGTATAAAAAATGTATACACTATTGACAGCAAGCAAGTTTTTTAAACAAAGAATTCAGAAATTGAACAACATTGTACATTTTAGTCTACACGGCATGCTCTACACCCTTAGTTGGACTGTAAACAGTTGTCTTCTTAAGTCTTCCATATAAATATAAATTT